ATATGCATAAAAATAATGGTACTCAAGGCAAGTGAGGATGTTTGGCAAAGGATAAGACCGTGTATGAAGGGATGGATTGCTTTGCGATTAAAAGAGTTACACAAAACTCACAAAGGTGTGTAACTCTTTTATGCATATGACTATATTATTTATTGATGTTGTGTGTGTTTGCTTTTATTAGGTCCACTAAATTCACTCTTTTTTAGTCCAGTGTATGAGTTCCATATCTCATGCTGTTGGCCATTACTAATATGACGCACCTAAAGTTCATCGGCATCCAAACCTATCCAATTTTAGCCCATCTCTCTTGTCCATAGTCAGAAATTGGTTGAAACCAGTTAAAGATTGATCAAAATCAACATCAGTCAGTTGACCTGGGAACTTATAACCAATTTGACCACCCCAAAAGTAGGGAAATAAAAGGCAAGTGTGAGGGGAAGGAGAAGAAGAGGAAAGCGCACCATGGATACAAGATAAAATGCTGACTCTGCAATGGAGTATTAGATACTATTACTATTCATTTGCTATTTGCTACAGCCAAATTTCACTTTTTTCTTTGTCTCCTGCCATTCTTACAATATTTGTTGTTCATCACCATATAACACAGACTAAGGATACAGTGAGAGAAAAGAAGTAGAACATAACCCTTAATTTCAAATAAGGACGATTACATAAAGGAGTTATCTTGAGATGCAAAATTGTACTAAAACATATGCTCTCATTACATTTATGTTTAAAAATATCCTTAGCATTACCCCACACATCAATTGCATGGTGATTAAAAAATCATTGCGGCCATAGAAGGACCAATTGATACAATCAAAATTGGAAGTGGAGAAGTTTCAAGTCTTTTATATAATGTATATAATGGTTATCTAATACATATATGTATGATATATATAATATATATGTTTATTAGATAAACCATTATATATACATATGTCGGGACAAGTATAGCTTAACTATTCTTTTATGATTTGTTCATTATTTTTCAGACTTTCTACTGCTTATATTTCAATTTAATGTGTCTCTCTGGAAAGCTAGATATCTTATGTTATATGTTGGGTATAAGAATATTTTAACACGATATAATTTTATGCTCTTAATTTTTTTAATGTTCTATAATCTTTTGCCTTTTAAATTAATAATTTGATCTTTTAAGCAATTTCCTCAGCTAATTCTGATCTCGCTGATCCAATCTAATTGATTTTGTCCTTATCCATTGCATTCTTCATAACTCATTCCTATGGTGGTACCAATGTTGCAAGTATGACCAGGTCTTCATGGAAAATCTTCATTATATAGTCCCTATTGGTTATTTTGTATTTTCCAACTCATGTTTCTGCAGAAGTAATCACATGACTAGAATGCTGATGTTACACTTGGTAAAATAGGCTTACTGCTCTTACCTGATGCAGCTTGGGAATCAAGATTTATCTTAATGAATAACAAAATGTCATGCTATAAATTTTCTAATTTTGACCTCTGAAAAGGTTGCAGTGGCTATCTGTTAAAGGTTTTATTTTATAAAAAATGGTGTGGCATAATGCTTAATAGGATTTAAATTGGAAGTAAATATGACATTGTAGAGTGGTGGATGAAGGAAATGCCTGTAAGTTTAATGTTTGATTGATACAGGGGACATAAGTTGCAGAAATGAAGCACTTGATATATCTATGTTCTAGGAAACAAGTAGCAGTGATGGTGATTCAGGATATCTTGCAGTGTTTAGTTCTCAATATGGTCAAACGATGGAATAAATAGTTATTTAATGTTGAACCTCATGCCATTTTTGATCGAGAATTGAAATAGTTCACTTATATTAATTGCCATGCATATGTGGCAGGGGGAACAGTTGAAGCGGAGGAATGCTCAGGTGATTGGTGAAAAAACCTTGCCTCCTTTGCTGGCCTCAGACAGGTAGATTAATATCAGTCATGTATTTTCTTTTACATCACTTTGCTGACTGTTTGGTGCATGTTTGGTAGTGTAAAGAGTAATGCGATCAGGAGAAGCGAACAATTAAAAATTCCAAGGTACATTACTACGCGTGTCAAGGAGGTCTATCCTGTTAAAAAGTCAAGCGAGAGATGCAGAGTATTTAATGGAGATGAGAAGGCCAAGGTTGGAAAGTTGTTGAATTATGTTTTTCATGCTCTAATATTGAAGTATTTTGTGATGGGAGTTCTTCTGACTGATGTGGTGTTTATTTTAACTCTCTAAAACAGGTGTCTTCCACTATCAGTGGATTTTCTAATGATGTTCCTAGTCCTGCTGCTTCTTTACCAGCAGAGGGCGAACCATCGATTTTGCGGTGTTCCTTTGATCTACTTGGGGCTAACCCAATATGAATATTTTTTGCTCGCACTGTTATATTATTATTTTAATGGTGGTAAATTTTTCCCCCTTGATTGCAGTGAAAATCCTAGCCTCATTAACAAATCTGAAGGATCTGACCAATCCGCCAGAGACATAAGTGAACAAGGTTTTCGGACGATTGAAAAGTGTCGCCAAAATGTGTTGCGCAATGTTGTTCAGCTTCATATGGGAGATGAGAATCTTACCAATTGTGCCAAAATTGATATGGTAGATTTTCCCCAGATGTTGGTACTCTTTTTGGTTTGTGATGCAAAGTCTTATTTTGCTATCATTGCATGGTTTGTTGATCGAATATGTTTGCTAGGAAAAAGCACTTAGAGGGTTGGTAGCTCGTGAAATTCCTTCCACCTCAGTTTCATTGGCTGTCTCTTCTGGAATAGTTGGTGGTTTTCCTACGAATTCTTCAAGCAGTTCTTTTTCTGAATTTGAGATTCCAGGTTCAAGAGTACCTTGTGATTTTACCTTAAAAACCACTCTGCGGTTGGTTTCGTCGTCCTCGGTGAAATGGTGAGTGCTACAATGCTTCTTTCTTAACTAACACTAGTTTGAGAGATGGGATTTGGAGTTGGTTTGTCCTGAATTTTCTCTTTCATAATAGCTGATAAAGGTAGTCGAAGCTGATTCAATAGACAGTTATCTGTATCCAATTCTCTTGGTTACTTATCAATCCTGGAAGTATAATGTTGTCCATATAGCTTATGCAGGTGCTTCAATATTCCTGTCTCTATTTTCTTCGTAAATATATGTATGCCTTAACTCTATGTTGTAGATGTGGCTGTCATGGTAATGCTTATTTTGGTCTTTGCATCGTGTTAATCTAGCTGTGGTCTTCTATCTTTTTCAGATATTATTTATGTAATTGTTATATTTAAGGGCTTTGAATTTCGTTTCATCTTGACTGTGAGATGAAAATACTTTGTACTTTGGAGTTCGGTCACTTCATATTCCAGTTTAAGGGAAAATCAAGGATTTTACTTCATGGTCTCATGAAGCTTAAAATACGATGAATATGTAAAAGTACCAGCCAAAGAGGCTTTTAGGTTTTTAGGTTTGTTTCTCACTTACCTAATTCTGCTCTTGCTGAGAAATTACAACTTTGTTTAGAGGATTAGTGTTAAATTTATTGTTGATTGCTAAGTATGCTCGATCTTTTTGGTGCTGTAAGTTTTGGGTAATGTTCATGTGCAACCTTTATGCGCGATTGGTCTGCCTTGCCATTTGTTCCCTCTTGGTCTTCTTGAATGGTTGAGAAGCAATATTCTCCTTGTTTTCAGAAGCATTTTCACTTGTCTAAAGTCAACATGTGTAACCAATTGTTCTGAAGTCTTTTAATTGGCAATTGTTTGAAGTTGTGTCATGTTAGGATACTGTGTAAGTTTGACACTCTACTATTGACCACTGTCTTCAAAGGAAAATGGTTTAACTTTAAATTGCTATTTTTATTTGCAGGTGCCACAGATTATGTGCAAGTCCTGCTGTC